CCTCCTCTGCAAGGACACGCTCTCCTATCGACACTACAGACTTTGTCACGGATTTGAAGCTCTTCAAGTGTTTGTAAAAAGGACTGCTGGCTGCTTCTACAGGCTGTTCTTTGCTCTTTTTTTTTGTCCTACCAAGCTTTTACATCTTACCTGCCCAATACTATTTTTTGTCATCTACACATGCCTTCACCTCTTTGAAGGGGCCTCTCTGTTTCAAATAACCTCTGGCCCTGGTGGTTAGTCCTGCTGGTTCCTCTCTGCCTTTTGATACCAGGAGACCTGAAAGGCTGCCTTAAATCTTTGCAAGCTTGCTGGACACTGTGTGACCACGCTGCTTCTTTTAGCTTAATTTTATCCAAGTTTCCTCATTTCACACATTTCCCCTTTCTGAAGCTGAACAAGATGCCACTGGACTTTTCAATCTTTGGTGATTTCGCAGGGTCATGGAAACAAAGCACGTTGTGGCTGTCACCAGCAGGCAGCCCTTTCCTGCAAACGAGCTCAGCCCAGTCCTGCACAGAGCTCAGTTCCCCATCTTCCTCCCTTGCGCCGCACATGGAGAAGCCACACACTGACCTCTTGCTTGCCTCTGCCTGGTATTGCAAACCAGCCATCGGGATGCTTGAAGACCAACAGCAGTAGTACTACACTGTGCCTCTTCCTTTTGGTTGGGATCCCTGTTCCCAAAGGTGTATCTCTGGTGCAAAGGGGTCTGCATCCCTTTTCTAAAGCAGGGACTCCATCGCTGGGGCCACACCTTGGAGAAAGGGCTCCCGCCTGCTCCTGGCCTCCTGCCTGCAGCTGGAAGTCGGTGCTTGCACCCACACGCGCTACTCCCCTGCACGATGCTCTCCAGGAGCAGCACCCGGCTTGCCAAGTCCTCACCTAAATCTTGCCCGTGCCGTCACCCATGGATCGCACACTGCTGCTGGTGTGCAGAGACTGGCTTTTGCCCCATGAGCATCGCAGCAAGGGGAAACAGGGGCTCTGGGCTGTGAAAGCCGCTCATGGGCAATGTTGCCACTAAAGTTCATTCAGAGGAAACCTTGTGGGTTTCATTGTACAGATGGGGGCACTGAGGCAGAGAGGGAGTCAGTGAAGGGGCCGAGGAAGGAAGTCCGCACGGCAGACGCTGATTTCAGAGTTGAGTCCCAGGACGGTGCCGCAACCACAGCGCTGTCCTTTCTCCGTCTGAAATGGAACCGGGCTGCGTCCGAGCGTCTGGTCCTGCCTCAGCGCTCCTGGGCTACTGCAACAAGAGGGGTCTTGCCAACCAGGGATCTGGGAAGCAGCTCCTGTGACCTCAGGCTGGGATAGCCACTGTGCAGGGAACTGGGCTGTCCCCGGGCTGTGCTGCATCTGGGCTAGCCTGAAAGCTGGATGTTCAGCTGTTTTGAGCATGCACAAAGCTCTCAGGAGTTAATAGGAGCTCATACACAGCTTGATGTCCCCAAAGCAGTAGTTGCAGAGGTGTCAGAGCCACCTTCATGCCCATCCCCAACCTGGCAGCCCCTGCCCTGTATGGCGTGGCTGCTGCGTGGAGCCTTGTGGGATTTGGGGATGTGTCACTGCCTGCTGGACGCTGGCAGGGTGAGCACTGGGTCTGGCTGCCAGGAGGGGCATGGGAAGGAAAGGCATTCCCTCCCCTCCCTTTCCTTCAGACACACACGTGCCCACTTGCGCCCCGTGCTCCCTTGCCCCATGAGAGTGCATCTCCCTCAGGTTGTCATGTGCATCTGGACTCCCACTGCACCCCTAACCCACCCCTAGCCATGCTGTCCTCCCATGCCCTTACCTTCCCCACCGCTGGGTCCCACTGTCCCCTGCCACCACCCTAAAGCAGACCCTTGTGGCTTGGCGCTGGGCTCCCTCTTTGCCTCCTGCACGCTGGATGCTCTGCTCCCAAGGTTCATCCCCAGAGCCCAGCACTTGTTTGCTAAGATATACTCTGAGACCTGCAAGGAGGCCAGGAGCAACTTCGCCGAGCAGCGGCTGAGAGCTGCCTGCAAGGAGCAGGAGTGAAGGACACGGATGCTGCTCCAGGACCCCACACAGGTGACATGAGATGGGCTGAACGTGCATCTTGCTGCCGGTCCAGAGCTGTCCCCGGCCTCGCTCTGCGCCTCAGCACATGCGAGGTGGGCGCTGGTGCTGGGGTGGCACTGGTGCTGGGGCGGCACTGGTGCTGGGGCTGGCAACTGCTCTGCTCTGTGCCTGGCGTGTGGACGTGGGGCGGGCCCTGGCTGGGAAGGGACTAGTTGGTGCAGTAATGAGGCCAGGGACACGCACTGTTTGCTGGTGAAGGATTGCTGCATTTGGGTTCAGTGAAGCGGCCAGGAGGCGTCACGCACACAGCATGATTGTCTCACCTGCTCCCAGCTACTCCGGAGGTGCTCACAAGGCTGTGGGCCAGTACCTGCCCCTCTCTCCATTGCCACCCACACCCCACAGCACCCACCTTTCTGCTGCTGTGTCCCAGCCAAACGGGTGCCAAGGCGTGCTACTTCTGTTGGGGGCTGGCTGAGCTGCCCTCCCCAGACCAGCACGTGGCGGCTTCTCTCCCTGCTCAGCCTGTGGCGG